CTTAGACCTAAAGACCCATTGTGGATCAACGATGAAATACGCTCGTTTATTCCAAAGGGTAACAGACAGCGCTAAATAGCCAAGTAAACTCAAAGACCAACTAATTGGGCAAAATGTAAATTCCACACATACCACGCACACACGCATAAACCACCAGAATAGTTTATGTAAATGCTTTGAGCCCGATTCTTAGGTTTACCAGTACAAAAGAAACCCAAGCCAACCCTAACAACGACTTCAGACCTGTCGCTCTTACGTCAGTAGTCATGAAGTCAGCGTGCACTCTAAGTCAACACATGAGCTCCCAGGGCTGTGTACTATCGCCTATGTTATTCACGCTCTACACCAATGACTGTGTCAGTACTATACCCAACTGTGAAAGAGTGAAGTTTGCCGACGACACAGCTATAGGCAGCCTATGTTTCGACAACGGGGACTCATACAAAGAAGAAGTGTCGAGAATTACGGAGTGGTGCAGAGATAACTTCCTTGAACTAAATGTGAAGAAGACCAAAGAAGTCAGTATCGACTTTCGCAGGAAGAAATCGACTATTACCCCCGATCAAACAGTTGAGGTTGTAGAAGAGTACAAGTACCTAGGGACAAGCAATGATAACAAACTGACTTTCACTAAAAATACCAAAGGAGTCTACAACAAATGTCAGTCTCGCCTCCACTTCCTGATAAAGCTACGCTCATTCCACATTGATTCCACTTTTATGTCTTTGTTTTACAAATCATGTATTCAATCCATTTTAACATTTTCTATGCAGTGTTGGTATGGACCTCTGTCGCCTCAAAATAAGAACAAATTAAAGAGGATTGTTCAGTTGCAGGGAAAAATGTCATCAGTTTTAAATCTTTCTGTCAGAATCTTACAAGACCCAACACATGTTTTAAACCCTTGTTATACACTTTTACCATCTGGCCGTAGGTATCTTTTACCAAATGTAAAGTCAAAGAGAAGTAAGCACTCTTTTAAACCAGTTAGCATATCCTTTTTAAACAAGCCTTAAACATTTTCTCTTAGTATATTTATTGTTAGATGTTTCTCTCATAAACACTGTTGTTTACTATGCATTCAATGTCATTGTTGCTGCTCATGTCTTAAATGTTGTTTTCTTATGTTCTTAACTCTGATGTACACAAAATTCCCTTTCAGACAATAAAGCATTATCTTATCTTATCTATGATGTTCATAGAGAAAGAAGAGATAAGATCTGAGAGCACCTAATATATACGTACATGCATAGGATAGTGCATTTCTGACATTCGTGATATTAATTGATTTGGAAATAATATTACGAATATCAGAAATGGACTATCCTTTAGTCATGTATTTGGAGATATAATATGATAGTGCATTTCTGACATTATTTACATATATTTTCAGAGAGTGTTTTTCTGACATTCTTTACCGTTTTAAATTGTAGAAATACGGTATACATTCATGTGGCATTCCGTTAGATCTACTCCCCCTGAGGGGTTACGTACCTTGTGCCCTTAAACTAAAATTTAAGTAAATTTAAGCAGTCTACTACTTTGAACCGCAGTATTTGTGTTATTTTAATTTATGTCTAGATTGTCAAACATTGCTAACAGCTGAAGGGATGATGTAAATCCAGCTAGGGTCCATGCAGGAAGCAAATGTACTGTAAGTTCCCATGGTCCGTAGTATGGTAATCTACCTTCAGTTGTTGGCAATCTATAGTCTATGTTTTTATATTGTATTCACATCTATAGTTAAACTGTTTTAGATTTAATTACTACTTTTAAATTTATATCTGTGACAATCTAATTGTTTTACTGTCTTTCGTTGACTGGTTTATAGAATTTAACTTTAATTATTATAAATCTATAGCTAGTTTTAGTCCTGATATGGCAGAAATATTGCCAATGTGACTTTAAATATTAACTCACTCACTCACTCACTCTACCGACACTAAACAGGACATTGTCTAGGCACGCAAAGCATACATAAAATATACTATGACAGCCATATGTTCGTATCTTACCGTGTTTTGCGTTTTGCGAAGTTCGTTTGTTCTTAAATATATACTCATGCCAATAATGGTTGTCAATAACCCCCCCACACACAATTAATAAAATTGAAGGGGGTGACAACCATTATTAACATGAGTATATATGGTATATCAGAAAAAGTGACAATGACATTGGCCAGTAAAATTCGGATATTGCACGTCAAAGGTAAGAATAATTTTAGGGGGAAATACACTCAAACCAACCTTTGCCTGTTTGTTATAATTAGATTGACACCAAGTCTCTTGTAATATATAATTATGAAAGAAAACCATGCCCATGGCCATGTATTACACCATTCTGGTGTATGTCATATATCTATATACTGCCAAGATACGATCAGAAATGTCATTCCAAGCGAGTGCATGAGTGACTGAGTGAGTGAATCAGAACTAATGTTTACCAGTGTGGCGAGATGCACGGGTAATCAACATTATAATCGAGTAAGCACTTTACATCGGTCGTCTTTTGGTTTCATTTAACCACAATGACACAATCATCTGTACATAATTAAACACGTTGCACATAGCCAATAAAGCAAATTTCACCTTTCTGTGCAAAGCCAATGATGATAAATATATCTTGCTGTACAGAGCCAATGATACTAAATAAAGCACGCTGCACAAAACCTGATACAAATATAACTCGCGGCACATAGCCAATGATACAAACTGTAGCACACTGCACAAAACCTGATACAAATATAACTCACTGCACAGAGCCAGTTATAAAAAAAAACATGCTGCACAGAGCCAATGATGCAAAATGTAGCACACTGCACAAAACCTGATACAAATATAACTCGCGGCACATAGCCAATGATACAAACTGTAGCACACTGCACAAAACCTGATACAAATATAACTCGCGGCATATAGCCGATGATACGAAATAATCACACTGCACAAAACCTGATACAAAAAAAAATTAGCGGCACATAGCCAATGATACAAACTGTAGCACACTGCACAAAACCTATGATACAAAATGTAACTCACGGCACATAGCCAATGATGCAAAATATAGCACACTGCACAAAACCTGTGATACAAACATAACTCGCGGCACATAGCCAATAATGCAAATATAGCACACTGCACAAAACCCATGATACAAAATATAGCACACTGCACAAAACCTATGATACAAATATAACTCGCGGCACATAGCCAATGATACAAAATGTAGCACACTGCGCAGAGCCAATGATACAAAATAAAGCACACTACACAGAACCAATGATACAAAATAAAGCACACTGCACAGAGCCAATAAAGCAAATTTCACTATATTGAGCAAAGCTAATGATACAAAATAAAGCACACTGCACAGAGCCAATGATACAAAATGTAGCACACTGCACAGAGCCAATGATACAAAATAAAGCACACTACACAGAACCAATGATACAAAATAAAGCACACTGCACAGAGCCAATAAAGCAAATTTCACTATATTGAGCAAAGCTAATGATACAAAATAAAGCACACTGCACAGAGCCAATGATACAAAATAAAGCACACTGCACAGAGCCAATGATACAAAACAGAGCATATTGTACATAACCACTGATACCAAACATAGCACATTGCATAGGTTTGGAGCATTGAGAAATCCAGAAGGTTTATGCATGGGTTCCACAACGCTGTGTTACAGTTGCGTCTCATAAAATATGTGATGTTCGGGACACACTGTTTTGGAGCCCATGCATAAATCTTCTGGATTTGACAAGTCGACGTTCTAAACATCGACCACAACATCGTAAATAACACCCAATCAATGAAATATGTTTCACAGAGGATTAAAGCACATGAGAAAGAAGACATGCTTCATTTGTGTACTACGATCATCCCCACCAACATCACCACTACTACTGATAGTGCTGACTTGGTTGTCATACGTCATCGATGCTCATGCTATTGATCACTGAATTGTCTGGTACAGACTCGATTAGTTACAGACCGCCGACATGTATAGAGATTATTAGACGAGCAAGTGTGTCATATGACTTATACGAGTTTCGTACACGTCATATGACACACTTGCTCGAGTCTAATAACGTCTTTATTATCCATTTTATTCATGCACATTTGTGCAGTTAACCACGAGTAAGCAAGAGTGACGGCCCTCTTCATTGACGTCAAGTTCAATTGTTTAATGACGTCACAGACGACGAAATACAGAAACAATGGTTGCTAGGCAAAAGTGATAAATTCCATTTCTAACAGGTCCATTTGCAATACGTCAGATTCTATTCACCAGTTACATCCTCAGACATTATCATTATTATTGTTTGTTGTTGTTGATGTTGTCGTTGTTCCGGTGATTTGGTTGAGCGTGCACTCACATTTCATCTTCCTTTGAAGTACACAAACCATGTTGGTTTCGTTTCAAAAGGAGACATGGTAATTGTCCGAGGAACATGTATTTCGCCATTAGTTATCATAACGTCTTTGTGTTAAATAGATATACTCAACCATGACAAATCATGTGTTTTACCTGTGTAAATGACCTAGCCAGGTGTTCTGCCTAATCTGTCAAGGGTATACTGATCCCCCACGTAACACTGATTGGTTTAATAAGGAGCCCTTGAAATCTTATATCGGTTAAGGGCGGACTCCCAGATGATCTCGTTTTGTGAAGGTACAAAGTAGAGCAGAGCGTTGAGTGTAACTGTTACGTCGCTGAGATATCTGATATAATCCGATTAGATTAACAATGGGGCGCTGTTGAGGTGTCGAGACTTCATCGAAAAACAACCGATCAAAATACATGAATTCTTAACGTTACAGATTCCAAACTCCCATGTGGAACAACCTCATTAATTAAACATGGAGATATAGACAATAGACAGCACACTGCTACAATTATAATGAAGGGTCAAGTGTGTGGCAAATGTTCTGCACGGGTAACTACTTTTAGCTGGCTGATTAATGCTTTAATCTGCTGTAGTCGTGAAGCCCCGCCGGTCTCTGTGCGGAGCGAGTTAGCGAGTCCTGTGCGTCCCTAGTTACAGGCGGCTACGATCCTGGCCTACAGTGACAGTCCGTTCAGTCAGCTCTCAGTCGCCGTGTTCTCTCTCCGTCAGGTAAGAGTTTTATGACTTCAGTATGTCTGAACATGTGTCTGTAAGTGATGGCATGTGTGTTGATGGGCTAGTTTCATAGTTGACCCAACCACTGTCCATGGGCTCTTATAGTGCGTTGTGCTGAAACAAAAGTAACATGGTTCATCAGTAGATCTTTTTTATTGAAATGATTCTTAAATACTATAGACATTTGAGATATCAACATAGATATAACCTTCATGAGACTGGGACTGCTTCTTTTGATTTGGAATGAGCATGGCGTGTGTTGAGATTGTGTCGAGTGCCTACAGTTAATTTCTTTGTTGAGATTCAGACAGTCAGATTACTATAATAACGTACGCCTGACTTCAGAATTTAACACTTGTATTTGATTTAAGGTAGTCAATTTCTCTCATCCGAACAAGATTGAGTGATTGGGTTTTGTTTTACGTCGCTTTTAGCAATATTCCAGCAATGTCATGGCGGGGACACCAGAAATGGGCTTTACACATTGTACCCATGTGGGGAATCGAACCCGGGTCTTCGGTGTGGCGAGCGAACACTTAAACCAATGGGCTACCCCACCGCCCCCATCCGAACATTTTTACGCTTCTTCTGTCTACATGCTACCCCTTGTATAAGTACTAATTATTACAATAGAGACTTGATTACGATATATTTAGATCATTTTATATTTTGGGAGAAAGGTCACATGTTTAAAAAATGCTTACTTCCAGAAAATAAAAACATATAATATATATAATTAAAATGATAAAAAGAAATTATACATTCCCCATTGTTAAAAGAAATGACTTTATTAAAAGAGTGGTTTATCAATAGTCAATCATAACTTCAGCTAGTGGAATATTACAAGCATGTGCTTCTTACCGACATCGTAGTACGTCAACATAGTTAGTTATAAGATTAACGTTACGTTCACATCACTGTTGCCTAGGTAATGTACATACTTATATCATAGTAATATATCTTAGTAATGTACAGACTTGCCCAGCGGGTTTACTACTATTTATACGTAAGTAATGTGCAGGGAAGCCCAGCTAGTTGACAACTGTGTATGTCTTAGTAATGCACAGAGTAGTCGAACTGGCTGACACCTGTTATATCTTAGTAGTGTGCAGAGTAGTTCAGCTTGTTGACCAGTTTTGTATCTTAGTAATGTGCAGGGTAGTTCAGCTGGCTGACACTGTTTATATCTTACTAATATGGAGGGTAGTCCAGCTGGCTAACCACTGTTTATATCTTAATATAAATGTGCCGGGTAGCCCAGCTTGTTGACAACTGTTTATATCTTAGTAATGTGCAGGTGATCAGGTAAGACAAGTGTTATATCTTAGTAGTGTGCTGGTAAGACAAGAGTAGTTAGCTTACTGGCCATTTTTTGTATCTTAGTACTGTGCAAGGTAGTCCAGCTGGCTGACAAATGTTTACATCTTAGTAATGTGCATGGTACCCAAGCTGGTTAATCAAAGTATATAACTTCGTAATGTGCAGAGTCGCCAAGCTGGTTGATAACTGTTTATATCTTAGTAACGTGCAGTTATCTCATATCTTTTCATTTCGCTTTTCGGTATCTGAAAGTTTCAAGCTGACCATATCTCGACTTTTCATCTGACCTTCACCTTCGGGTATCTCGACGATTTCATCTCTTGCTTTAGTATAAAAAGTTACCATTATCGAGATAATGGAGATCACTGAATGGGTATATAAATCCTTATTAAAATTAAACAGGGATCAATACATTAAACCATACATATTCATATTTCTCAAGAACTCGATCCCTTACAGCCTTAAGTTTACAATAGTTCATGTAACCTGACTGCAGATTACACATTCGTGTATTTGCATACAACCCACCTGAATAGCTTTAACTTTAGCGTTCCACCCCTACTGCGCTGTGGCACGCTGTCAACACCAGATCACAATTACCAAATTAACAATCACTCTGTTTTCACGTCGACATATTGACTCCTTTGGTCCGTGACTGACAACGGTATGTCGAGGGAATTGTCCCTGTCGACGACGTTGCTGAGAGAATCGGGTGAGATCGATGTTGATTTCATGGAGACGTTGGCAACGTCCACGATGTCGATATGTAATATGTGGTAGAGAGGAAGCTCGCGACAGCTACTATTATGTCAAGGCGCTCGCCAACAAAGCGTTCAGTGTGTGGTGTATGTGGCGCGACTTCTAATAAAGAAAACGGATGCTGGTCGATCACGTTGTTTGTCGCTAAATGGCGGCGGTTTGTGTATGCGTGTTTTCTGGACATGTTCTTTCGATTAAAGAAAGACTTCTTTGTTATTCGTAACTCCTTTGCACAATCGATTTATAGTATTTCTTGCAGTGACGTCTAAACGATCGGGTCCGTTAGATAAATTTGTCAGTTTGATCACATCTGTTTTTTCTCCACATTCTTCTTTTTGGTGATTACACGTGAAGATCTGGGTTAGCATTGGTCATCAGAAACTCAGGCTTGTCGTAAAAGGTGACTAATGGGATTGGGTGGTCAGGCTCGATGACATGGTTAACACATGTCATCGTATCCCAAATGTTTGTAGGATTGATGTTCATGATGTCAATCTCTGGATTGTCTGGTCGAGACTCGATTATTTACAGACTGCCCTCATATAGCTGAAGATTGCTGAGAGCGGCGTTAAACAAAAACAAACATCTCTGGGGATATTGAAAAACATTAAGTGTCGAGTATAAGAAAGAAAGGACCCACTGTCGATGGTGGCTAAAATTAAACAAACAGAAACACAAGCCTGTGCACTTAAAACAACCCACGAATCCGCTGGTATATCACCAGATGGTGGCCACATGAATACGTGCAAACACCTATATATATATAAACACCTATATATAATTTTTTTCCTCGATCATTGTAGCAACTAGTATATATATATATATATATATATATAAATATATATATATATATATATATATGGATAAATAAATATATATATATAGATATAAAAACAGAATGCCTTTTTCTCCATGTTTCGTTCTTTACTCTTCAGGGAGATAACAGTATGACGTATATATATATATAATAGGGACAACATATATATATATGAAGTAGTGTTCTTTTATCCATATATAAAAGGAAATATTGTAAATTTAACATCGTATCCTATATGTATATATATATATGGACAAATAAATATATATATATATATCCATATATATATATGGATAAATAAATATATATATATATATATATATATTTATCCATATATATATATACACTAGTTGCGGGTACAGCAACGTGCAGTGAACCTGGACCAAGTACTGTGACTATGTGTCTCAGTCCACCCAGCTGTGAATGGGTACCTCGTAAGGATGAGAAAGCCACAATACCTCGGTGCTCCTAATGGCAGCAAGAGTTGTATACTCCCTGGAAGTTGAGATGGATAATACGATGTACCGTTGAGATTGACATCCAATGATCGAGGGGAAAATCACCCGAACGCTCTATGCTGCATACTATCTTTAATCTGTAAAGCATAATAATAATAATAAATGGTTATAGTATGGTGTTCTTCTTGATCTTATAGCGGTACAGGATTTCGGGGTTTGTTTCTATACTGAGCTGACATGCCTGGAGTTGTTACTGTCAGAACGTGTTCAACATCACCTTGCTCATTCTAGAAATATATGTCAGTTAGGCCTTAATTAGAGTGAGTGAGTTTAGTTTTACGCCGCTTTTAGCAATATTCCAGCAACATCACGACAAGGTCTTCGGCGTGACGAGTGAAGCATTAACCACTAGGCTACCGTCCGCTTACTTGCTGCTTTTAGATATGAAGGAATTCTTCCATTGGAGCAGATTTCCTTCAATAAATACGACGAGAACAAATTGTGTTGAAATACTTCAACCTGTCACGTGATTCCGCGGCGTTAAGCCGGTAAGATCTGCCCCTCCAACTGTACTTGTTGGCTGTGGGTGCAAGGACTGCTGGTTAAGCTAATTCTCTACTTTATACGTCTTAAAAGAGTAGGACTTTATGTGAAACTTGGGTCTGTGGGTCAAGTCTTTAACTGGCGTGTTGTGAACCTAGTTATGTGGCATGTTGTGAAACTTGGGTCTGTGGGTCAAGTCTTTAACTGGCGTGTTGTGAACCTGAGTAAGTGTGGCATGTTGTGAAACTTGGGTCTGTGGGTCAAGTCTTTAACTGGCGTGTTGTGAACCTGAGTATGTGTGGCATGTTGTGAAACTTGGGTCTGTGGGTCAAGTCTTTAACTGGCGTGTTGTGAACCTGAGTGTGTGTCGCATGTTGTGAAACTTGGGTCTGTGGGTCAAGTCTTTAACTGGCGTGTTGTGAACCTGAGTATGTGTGGCATATTGTGAAACTTGGGTCTGTGGGTCAAGTCTTTAACTGGAGTGTTGTGAATCTGAGTAAGTGTGGCATGTTGTGAAACTTGGGTCTGTGGGTCAAGTCTTTAACTGGCGTGTTGTGAACCTGAGTAAGTGTGGCATGTTGTGAAACTTGGGTCTGTGGGTCAAGTCTTTAACTGGCGTGTTGTGAACCTGAGTAAGTGTGGCATGTTGTGAAACTTGGGTCTGTGGGTCAAGTCTTTGACTGGAGTGTTGGTGGAACCGGTGTTTAAGGAACACTCCAATACACTGAGGTTTGAAACATGGGTTTGCGGGCCACAGTTCATATTCGGTCAGTCTTGGACTAAGCTGTAGTGAATACTTTTCAAAGCACGATGGTACGTAAAATGATGCATTTCGGGTTATTGCTACTGTATGTCGAAATTAGGCTATCTCGAATGAAAAGCCACAACCCAATACTAAAACCGCTAATGAACAAAGTATGAAAACCTCTACAAAGCGATTGTTTTATTTCGAGTCTTAAGCGATTGCATACCACACCTTTACAACTAAACGACAACGTAGAGTTCAGTTTACATAATGATTTGAATGGTGTATTTGTTCAGCTAAATCCCGTAATTAAGCAGACCAAATTACAGCGTCAAAAGAAAAGTAATATGAA